CACAAAAAAGGGGGAATGAGAAATGAAGGAAGGCAGGACTTAAATAATAAGGTGTCATCCCACCCATTCCGGTAAAAAGATTAGAAAAAAAAACTGCTCGGAGCGTCCTCGCTTTGACAAACAATCCATGGCAACAAATCAGTCTCCATGTTTGACCCCAACCCAGCACACGCAGGTAGTTTCACTTATTTTTCCACAAGAGAAATATATAGGAACATACTCTGATAGATAGATAGATAGATAGATAGATAGATAGATAGATAGATAGATAGATAGATGTGAACAGGGTTAGGGAAAATATATTGATGTTTGTGTATATTGTCCTTGTGACAATTGGACATTCTGCTTTAATCAACTGATTTAATATTTGCATATAAAAGGCGCGTGGGAACCGTGACCGTTTATATATAAATATATCATTTTGTCCTTCCATCCCTATTAAGCTTTAACATTTATAAATATATTTCCTAAAATCCTCACAAGTATGTTACATATTTTCAAATCTTCGCACTATCAATGCCTAAATTGGGCTACATCTTTTTACGAAAACTGTTTTTTGCTTATATTGAATTTCGCTTTCGCATTTTGCATCAACCGTTTGTTTTTTTTTGATCTTGCCAAAAACTAACATTGCAACCTCTAGTCGTCGTTCTAAAACGTCTAGTCTAAATATGTTTCATTTCTGACTCGCATTTACTTCTTGGTTTGAGCTAACACTCAGAGGGAACGACCATAAATACAGAATCTCGACTCTAAAGTCAAACGAGCGAAAGGCCGATCCGTCAGCCTCTTTTCCAGGTGGACTTTCGCTTGAAATCTACCTCGAGATGTCCGAGTGCATTCAGTATGGCGTCGAGCGTCATTAAACTTGAAGTGGGTATTGATTGGCTGTCGTCTATGTACATGTCAGGCTGCTTTGCTAAATAACGGGACTGGCTGGATGCGTGGAATATTTGCATGCGTATATATAAGCGAAGTCTCTCGACTTTTCTTCTCCCTGTTTATGAGCGAACGTGGCTTAATGTTGTTTTAAGTTACAATGCACAAAGAAAGTGAACGGAATAATGAGAGTTTGCTGAGGCATACTCCCACACGCAAACACAAACAACTTCAAACACACATACACATTCACAAGCACAGAGTGTAACTCCCTCTATCACAGATTGAAATACTTACTCACATGTATTCACACTCAGACTAAATTGGAAATATAAATTTACGTAAATCCGGGTGAGGGTTAAATGTCATATCATTGGTAAAAAGACGTTTTAATTTGTACTTTTTCATTTAGGATACAAATTTGATTAATCTTTGTTGAATACAGCACATGGGTAAATAAAGTTGAGTATTTTCGGGTTATAAAAAAAAAGAAAAGAAAAAAAAGCTTCCCCATGAGCAACGCGATAAAAGCCACTAAGAAACAAGAGGTTACTTAGAGTGATAGAAAAAGAAAAGATAATAAAATAACAGAATTCAAGGAGAGGAGAGATGACGACTGACATTGGTTCTAAAATTTTGAATGCCGTTGCAAAACAGGAAAACAGGAAATTAGAAGAATTGTCCACAAGGAAGAAGTGCGACAGAAGAAGCTGCATCAAGGTATGATCGTTCTCTTTCATAAAGCTAGTTATACATATTGTCGGGCTACAAACTTATTTAGTCAAGGCTAGCAATCAGACAAGTGGAGGAAAAAGTCAACTTAGGAATATGTGCAACAGCTGAATTTATAGCAAAAACCGAAAAAAAATATCCGACAATTAAAATAATGTGTATAAATAAATGGATGACTACTTGTATCCGAGTATGCCTGTCTACTAAGACGGTTAGTTAATCCCTGTTGCAAACGCCTGCTCAGGTATGTGTCTGTTCAAAACCCACAGAGCGCACTTGTGGCTTATACTCCAATTGCGCTGAGAGGTACTCGGAGATTTGACCAAAAGGCATTTGGTCGATAGACATTAAACCAAATAGATATTTAGCCGTAAATGTAACAGCGTACTTAAATGCATGTCACACTGATTATCTTAATGTGCTCTCTATATATTTCTTTTTGTTTACTGTAGTAATCTATAATTTTTCATTTTTTTACAGGCTTTTTAAAAATTTATTCTTTACATATTATAGTTTACTTTAAATATAAGTGTAAGTTGATAAGTATTTGTTAAAAAAAAATTACGACAGGAAAAATTTTAAGCTTTTACGATATGAAAGATCTTTCAATTTCAATTTTAATGATCCTTATCTTAAAGGAATGAACTGGAATTTATCTTACAGTTAAATACGAATTTAAATAATTAGGTTCTACTTTTTACCCAAATGCACTCAAATATTTTTAAAAATACTAATTTCAATAAACAAATATTGAAATAAGAAAACTTTTAACTTGAAATTTAAATTTAGTAATTTAATCACTTGAAATTCAGTGGTAATTATTAGTCCTATTCTATCTTATAAAACTACTAATTAAATACTTAAAGTATTGCTTGTTACTATTTTTACTTGTACTTTTTCGGTGAAATGCCCATCGGCCAAATATCTCTCTGCCAAATATCCATTCGGCCAAATATCTCTCGGCCAAATATCCATTCGGCCAATTGTCTCTCGGCCAAATGTCTGTTCGGCCAAACGCCTTTATCCACTGTGCCATGTGTCCTTGAGGATATCTGTGTAAGAATTTCTGGGTATTATAAACCAAATGACTCAGCAACCATTTTTTACCAGGCGTTGCTTAGATCCAGTGATAGCACTCAAAGAGTGTGAGTTCAATACCTTGTTAAGACGGTGGAGAACTTGGAGAGGGGAATTAACAGGAGATAACTGATAACTGACATCTATTAAACATGGCACGTGGAACTAAAACAGTCTACCCCAGTGAGCGAAATAAAGGCATTTCGACATTCAACCACCTGAAGAAGGCCGGAGCGTGAACCAGCCGAAACATTGTAATAAATGATGCGACAAAGATGAGGACAATAGTACGAATAATGTAAATAGTGTATATACCATCTCATCTCAGAAATATAGACAGATGATGGTCTGTCTTGACTGGGAGATCCCATATGTTTTGACTGCCATTTTCTACCATTGCCACCGCATGATATTCATAGAATTTCTCTTTCACATTAACGTTAAGCTTACAGCAAACTTCCCAATGGATTTTTTACCAAACTATTCATGTTTTATTTTATTCTCTTTCTGTACCAACTTAGGATATTTACCGAATATGTGGCTGACTGTCACATTTTCATGCCCGCTTTTCACGTATGTTATTCTACTTGCGATCTGGGTATCTGAACGTAACTACATATATTTTCATAGCCTGCTCTTTGGATGAAAATATGACTCTCTTTATAGACACATTTTTCACTCAAAACCAACTCTCAGTTCTAGCAATTGATTGTCTGCTGAAAAAAAACAAAAAAACCAGGAAACTTTTCTTTTATCTTTAAACTTGTATTTGCCGCTTTTTCTTACGCTAATTCTTAACTACAGCCACTGTCTGAACCTTGAGATCTTTCCGCATCCCAATTCATTTTTTGTGCTGATGTAGAAGCAATTCCTAACTATATTGACGATTTTTAAAAGCTGTGCTCAAGCTGAACTTTTGCCGTAATTCACTAATTAAGACATTGTTATGAAAAACGGCAATGAAAAAAAGGATGCTAATTCAGTTTCAAATCATTTTTAAAAACAACACTTACCTACCCTGAACCGGCTACATCGAAGATCCAACTTTGATTGTCGAGTCGTGGCTGCAAAGATCTAGACTAGGGAAAGCTCATCTGACGTTTTTCCATGAAAATAGCGATAGATTACCTCCAGTGTTGCGACGTTGCCTCCGTGAGAAACAGGCTACAGACTGGGAAATAAAGCATCACCAACAAAGCTGCGTAGACCTAGGTCCGAGTGTCACTGAGAAGTAAGAAATTGCCTCTGCCAAATTTTCTTACCTTTCTTCCACCGAGCTCAGCTTTTGGAGTAGTTTGTGAGGTGTTATCCTTGCCAGTACATGTTATCCTTATTACTTTGTTTTGATTCTTGTTTGCCATGTATTGTTAGAAGTTAGAAGGATACATTCAACATTAGAATCGGTTCCCCAAAATCGAAATCACATATGACATGGACTAACATTAACTACCTGAGTGTCAAAACTGAGGAAAAAAATAAATAATTACCCCACCGTCTTTTATTTTAATATATTCTAATTTTGTGACACGTGAAAATCGAATTCAGTCTCCATACGCGTGGCCAAGTTTAATTCCTCTATGTAAGGTGTCAATGGCGATAACAAAAACTAAAAGCCAGGCGAGTGGAGCGCTGAACATAAATCGAACTCACAATGCTGTCGACTTTCTCTGCTAGACGATCTTGTTACTCGGGGCGCCCAGTGAACTTTCTTTATGTGAATTTGAGATAAAAGCCAATGGTATGCTGAATTCAACATGTTAATCTTTTTTTTTTTTTTTTTCCTTTTTCAAGTCTGGTAAACAGCGCACCTCGTAATAAGAAAAAAAAAATTAATTCACATTTTAGAAGTTAATTTTTTTTCTTTTTCTGAAAACATTCCTTCCATCCAGCTGATACAATTGTGTCTGAATGGAAAACACCTGTCATTGTAAAATGCAATATCTTGCGATTTATTCAAATAGTAATACTCATAATATGTTTTCTATATCGTTACATTTTCCCGGTTCGCTCTCTTTTCCATTCTCTCTCTTTAAGAAAAAAACTTTACGGATAGAAACTTGATTTCTTATAAATTGCGACAAACCCGATGCCAAGAGTTTCCTTGCCATTTACTTGAGTCTCTATAAAATATAATAATCTGATCATTTCAGAGAAAATTCACTTTGTCGTCCGATTGATGGAATTTCAACTCAGTTTTGCTGTTTTCTCTTTCCATTTCTTTTATCAATGGCGGTGAGAAAGCCGATTTCTTTGATGCCACTCACAAGATTTCTTCCATCAAAGCCAGCAATCTGGTGATATTGTCCTGACACATGGAGACCGAGTCACGTGTCTACCTTCATGACACTAGAAGACGTGTTGGCTGTATGCAAGTTTTCACATCGTTCGCAAAAACATCGAAAATGCGCACCAGACAGTGCAGGTGCCTGATTTGTCAATCTTTGAAAAATTCTAGTCGCCAAATCGAGCCTTTCATTTTATTTTTTACTTTTTTTTTTATTTATTTATTTATTTATTTTTTTACTTATTAGTTTATATATATTCTACTTCGAATCTGGTTCTCCTTCGTCTTATCCTCTTCCCCATAAATACAATTACTATTTCCTCTCCTCGTCTTGCTACTTCTCCTCTTCCTTCCACTTATTCTTCTGTGCTTTCTCATCCCCCACTTAATATTTCACCATTATCGCCACTCTACATCTTTTCCTCCTCCTACTTCTTCTGCATTTTTACTCTTTCTATTTTACTCCACGATCCTATTTCTCTACCTAACCTTTTATCTGATTCTGACACGTTGTTATTTTATACTTTCTTATTTTTTTTCCTTTTTCTTCTCTATTTTAATTTTCTGATTCCTTCTTTTTCTTTCTTTTTTTCTTTCCATTAGTTTCATATTTTACTTCATTTTATCTCCCTTTTCTCTATTTCGTTTTTATTCCTCCATTTCATCAGTTTCGGTATTTTTTGATTTTATGGGTTCGTTTTCTTATTTCAGTTTTTCATCAGTCCCTTTTTTTTGTGTGTGCTTTTTCCTTCTTATTTTCTTCGTCGCTTTTTCTACTTGCTTTTCGTCTTCAGGTTGTGTTTTTAATTTTTAGGTTTTTTCTTCTCTTTCTAAACATATTCCATCAACATAGATATTTTTAGTTTATCTTTCAATTTACTTATTCTTGCTCCTCTTTTCTTTTTCTTCTTCTTTTTCTTCTTCTTTTTCTTCTTTTTCTCATTCGTTTTCTTTTTCTCATTTCCTCAACAAGTTTCTTTCAACTAATCTTTTTTTTATTATATTTTTCACGTGCCTTGTGCATTACTTAGTTTTTCATTAAGAATTTTTTTAACTCGCCTTCATTCATTCATTCGCTCATTCATTCATTTTTTCTCTTGTAAGTCATTCAGTTGTTTTTTTTTTTTAGTAATGCGTTGTTGATTTTACATTTGATTCTCATTTGTATTTCTTTCTTTCTAACTTGTTTTTCTGTCAATCAATCTTAATTTGTGATATTTGTTTTTTTTTCTGTAATTTTTCTTTTGATTGTTTTCATTCCCTTATCCTTACTTTCTCACTTTTACTATTTTCCTTCCTTTCTTTTCTTCCTGCCTTCCTTCCTTCTCTCTTTTTTCTTTCCTTCTTTCCGTCTTTGTTATCTTTATTTTGATAATATGAGTTTCTTTCTTTTAAAATTCTTTTGATTTGTTAGCATTCACTTAGGCTCCCTTATTTCCTTCTTTTTCTTACTTCCTTCTTTCTTTCTTTCTTCCTTTTTTCTTCTTTCCTTCCGTTTTTGTTGTCATTATTTTTGATATTTGTTTTCATCTTTGAGGTTTCTTTTAATTTATTTTTATTCACTTGCCCCCCCCTTTTTTCATTGCTTTCTTTGTTTTTCTTTCCTTTCCTTCTTTCCTTCCTTCCTCTCTTCTTTCTTTCTTTCTTTTCTTCCTTTTTTCTTTTCTTCTTTCCCCCTTCCTTCATTCTTTCCTTCCATCCTTCCTTCTTTACTTTCTTTTCTTCTTTTCTTCTTTCCCCCCTTCCTTCCTCACTTATTTCTTTCCTTCCTTTCTTCTTTTCTTCTTCCTTCCTTCCTTCCTTCCTTCCTTCCTTTCCTTCCTTCCGACCTTCCTTCTTCATTCCTTCCTTCCTCACTTCTTTCTTTCTTTTCTTCCTTTTCTTTTTTCTTCTTTCCCCCTTCTTTTCTTTTCCTCTTCTTTTCTTTCCTTCCGTCCTTCCTTCCTTCTTTTTCCTTTCTTTTCCATCCTTTTCTTCTTTTTTTTTTCATTTCCCCATCCTTCTTTCCTTCTGTCCTTCCTTCTTTCCTTTTTTTTTCCTTCCTTTCTTCTTTCCCCCTTCCTTCCTCACTTCTTTCTTTCCTTCCTTTCTTCATTTCTTCTTTCCCCCTTCCTTCCTTCCTTCCTTCCGACCTTCCTTCTTCATTCCTTCCTTCCTCACTTCTTTCTTTCTTTCCTTTCTTTCTTCTTTTCTTCTTTCCCCCTTCCTTCTTTTCCTCTTCTTTCTTTCCTTCCGTCCTTCCTTCCTTTCTTTCCATCCTTTCTTCTTTTCTTCATTTCCCCTTCCTTCTTTCCTTCTGTCCTTCCTTCTTTCCTTTCTTTCCTTCCTTTCTTCTTTCCCCCTTCCTTCCTCACTTCTTTCTTTCCTTCCTTTCTTCTTTTCTTCTTTCCCCCTTCCTTCCTTCCTTGCTTGCTTCCTTCCTTCCTTCCGACCTTCCTTCTTCATTCCTTCCTTCCTCACTTCTTTCTTTCTTTCCTTCCTTTCTTCTTTTCTTCTTTCCCCCTCCCTTCTTTTCCTCTTCTTTCTTTCCTTCCGTCCTTCCTTCCTTCTTTCCTTTCTTTGCATCCTTTCTTCTTTTCCCCTTCCTTCTTTCCTTCTGTCCTTCCTTCTTTCCTTTCTTTCTTTCCTTCCTTTCTTCTTTCCCCCTTCCTTCCTCACTTCTTTCTTTCCTTCCTTTCTTCTTTTCTTCTTTCCCCCTTCCTTCCTTCCTTCCTTCCTTCCTTCCTTCCTTCCTTCCTTCCGACCTTCCTTCTTCATTCCTTCCTTCCTCACTTCTTTCTTTCTTTCCTTCCTTTCTTCTTTTCTTCTTTCCCCCTTCCTTCTTTTCCTCTTCTTTCTTTCCTTCCGTCCTTCCTTCCTTCTTTCCTTTCTTTCCATCCTTTCTTCTTTTCTTCATTTCCCCTTCCTTCTTTCCTTCTGTCCTTCCTTCTTTCCTTTCTTTCCTTCCTTTCTTCTTTTCTTTTCCTTCCTTCCCTCACTTCTTTCTTTCCTTCCTTTCTTCATTTTTTTCTCCCCTTCCTTCCTTCCTTCCTTCCGACCTTCCTTCTTCATTCCTTCCTTCCTCACTTCTTTCTTTCTTTCCTTCCTTTCTTCTTTTCTTCTTTCCCCCTTCCTTCTTTTCCTCTTCTTTCTTTCCTTCCGTCCTTCCTTCCTTTCTTTCCATCCTTTCTTCTTTTCTTCATTTCCCCTTCCTTCTTTCCTTCTGTCCTTCCTTCTTTCCTTTCTTTCCTTCCTTTCTTCTTTCCCCCTTCCTTCCTCACTTCTTTCTTTTCTTCCTTTTTCTTCTTTTTTTTTCTTTCCCCCCTTCCTTCCTTCCTTGTTTGCTTCCTTCCTTCCTTCCGACCTTCCTTCTTCATTCCTTCCTTCCTCACTTCTTTTTTTCTTTCCTTCCTTTCTTCTTTTTTCTTTCCCCCCTTCCTTCTTTTTCTTTCTTTCTTTTCTTCCGTCCTTCCTTTTTCCTTCCTTCCTTCCATTCCTTCTTTTCCCTTCCTTCTTTTCCTTCTGTCCATCCATTCTTTCCTTTCTTTTTTCCTTCCTTTCTTCTTTCCCCCCTTCCTTCCTCTGTCTTTCCTTCTTCCTTTCTTCTTTTTTCTTTTTCCTTCCTTTTCCCTTCCTTCCTTCCTTCCTTCCTTCCATCCCTTCCTTCTTCATTTTCCTTCCTTTTTTTTTTCTTTCCTTTCTTCTTTTCTTTTCTTCTTTCCCCTTCCTTCCTTCCTTCTTTCTTCCTTCCTTCCTCCTTCCTTTCTTTCCATTTTCCTTTTTTCATTTCCCCTTCCTTCCTTCTGTCCTTCCTTCTTTCTTTCTTTCCTTTCCTTTCCCTTCCTTTCACTTTTTCTTTCCTTCCTTCCTTTCTTCTTTTCTTCTTTCCCCCCTTCCTTCCTTTCCTTCCTTCCTTCCGACCTTCCTTCCTTCTTCATTCCTTCTTTCTTTCATTCCTTTTCTTTCCTTTTTCTTTCTTTTCCATCCTTTCCTTCTTTTCCTTTTCTTTCTTTCCTTCCGTCCTTCCTTCCTTCTTTCCTTTCTTTTCCATTCTTCTTTTCCCTTCCTTCTTTCCTTCTATTCTTCCTCCTTTCTTCCTTTCTTTCTTTCCTTCCTTCTTCTTTCCCCTTCCTTCCTTTTCTTTCTTTCCTTCCTTTTCTTCTTCCTTTCCCCCCTTTCCTTCCTTCCTTCCTTCCTTCCTTCCTTCCTTCCGACCTTCCTTCTTCATTCCTTCCTCCACTTCTTTCTTTCTTTCCTTCCTTTCTTCTTTTTCTTTCCCCCCTTCCTTCTTTTCCTCTTCTTTCCTTCCGTCCTTCCTTCCTTCTTCCTTTCTTTTCCATCCTTTCTTCTTTTTCATTTCCTTCCTTTTTCCTTCTGTCCTTCCTTCTTTCCTTTCTTTTCTTTTTCCTTTCTTCTTTCCCCTTCCTTTCCATCCATTTCTTTCCTTCCTTTCTTCTTTTCTTCTTTCCCCCTTCCTTCCTTCCTTCCTTCCTTCCTTCCTTCTTCCTTCCTTCTTCATTTCTTCTTTCCTCCACTTTCTTTTTCTTTCCTTCCTTTCTTCTTTTCTTCTTTCCCCTTCCTTCTTTTCCTCTTCTTTCTTTCCTTCCGTCCTTCCTTCCTTCTTTCCTTTCTTTCCATCCTTTCTTCTTTTCTTCATTTCCCATTCCTTCTTTCCTTCCGTCCTTCCTTCTTTCCTTTCTTTCCTTCCTTTCTTCCTTTCTTCTTTTCCCCTTCCTTCCTTCCTTCCTTCCTTCCTTCCTTCCTTCCTTCCTTCCTTCCTCCCTTTATTCTTTCTTTCCTTCCTTCCTTCTTTTCTTCCTTCCTTCCTTCCTTCCATCTTAGTCTTTACTATTTGTTTTCTTCTTTGATTTTTCTTTTTATTCTTTTTCCCTTTCTTTGTTTTCTTGCCTTCTTAATTCCTTCTTTACCTTCTTCTTTCCTTCCATTATCTTTTTTTATGAGGGGATATTTACTTGAGTTTCCTGATTAA